GTTAAAAGGTCACTTAGAAAGCCCGTTAAAGTAGAAAAAAAATCACCAAGGATAAAAGAGTTAAAAAATATATATATATATATAATAACAAAAAAAAAATTATAAATGTTTTATAGTTGTATATATGGTCTTGGAAAATATTTTAAATCAAGCAACTTGAAAATTATTTGAAACAAAGAGTTAGCATGTTCTTTTCAAAACTTTTAAATGAAATTTCTAAGTTTGGTTTGGTTTTGTATTGCTACAATGAGAAGATTTTCTTGAAAATATACCTTAGAGTTATATATAAAAATGTTTTCTTGAGTGATAACTAGCTCCAATTAGATTATCTAAAAATTATCAAGTGAATTTAGTTATTTACTGACTTCTTTAACTTGGCAAGTTGACCGAATTTTGTGGGTATATTCACTGCAAACCCTCACGAGACTACAACTCGTCCACTAGGGTAACCTAGGGGTTTAAAGGCTTGTTGTATACGCTAAATACAACCGTGATTCCTGCGAAAGTGAGTTAGAATTTTTTTTTTATTTCTTTCTTTGCTAGAGGACTAGCAAAAGATTAGGTGTGGGGGTATTTGATAATCATATTTTATTACAATTTTATACCCTCATTATCTATTTTATATGAATAAATATACCACTAATAATTATTTTTATCTTTTAATTGCAGGTTAATGAAGAATAAATCTCAAACTCTCATCTCTCAACAAAAACCCATTGATTAAATAAAGAAATGAAGCAAAGAAGCACATTGGAAAATCAATTTCCAAATTATCCAAAAGCCCAGAATGAAGTCGTGTAGCCTGTAGAAGCCGGAGAAAATCAAAAATCCAATATGAAAAGAAATCATATTCAAAATGGTTGGCCACAAAGAAACGACGATATCTCCTAATCCGGAAGGCGGAATTTAACATATAATATATGAAAATCGCCTATCTCGACGAGACGAAGCTATCCGTGAAATCAGAATTTAGAAATAGTGGGCATCGATGTCGGCATCGATGTGGGCATCGATGCTGGCATCGATACCTACATCGATGCCTGCATCGAT